CACAACATCTTGGCCTTCATATATTCATACATTTGGTTTCATGATTTGGTTGACTATGCTGTGCTTGCTTGACTTACATGCATGCATACGAGTGATGTTGATGCAGGAAGGGCGGCGGATGTGATCATACACATGCATTTTTCGTGAGTAGGTTTTCGAGACTACCGAAAAACCAGATATTTCGTTTAAGGCGATGAACGACTTGTGGTTGAATTTTCCCACAATCATATGAATAGAGCTGATGCTTCAATTGAAGTTCACATAGCCTTGTTTTCCCCAAAGGTGGCGTATTGGTTAAAGTGTCGAGAGTAAACACTGCTCTGTCATGGCTCGACTCCTGCTGAGGGTGTTGCTAAGACTTAGGCGAAGTCGAAACTGCATTCCCCTTCGGTCTGGATGTGAAATGTAATGAAAAGCATCAATTCTACTCATATCATTGTGGGAAAATTCAACTACCAGTTCTTCATCACACAACTCATTAAAACATGCATTCACCAAATTAAAATAAGTCTCAGTATTACAGGATCATTTGCTAGTTTATTTACATAATGAACCGTTTTTCTTCCAGCATCAACTGCACTCGCCTACATACATGAAGGACACGCACATAATAGTCAATCAAATCATGGAATGCTTCATTAAGACCCAAAAGTGAGAAGTTATAAGAAGTGAGAAGAATATCCGCAAGCCACCTTTCTTGGTTTTGATGTTTGTTCGCAAATAATTTATTTCTGAGTCTGACTATGCCAGTAACGACGGCCTTAAGCTCAGCGCAGATTCATCGGGTTTGTAGGAAAGTGAGCCGAGGCCTTTTTTCGCACAATCCATTAGTCACAAGGCCATGACAACCGTTTCACGTTAACATCAAGTTCATCATATGATGGACGAAAGCTCAACCCGTTTTCGCCCAAAACGAGTGAGGACGTTTCGTGAACGGCGTCCATCTGAACGTCGTACTGAAGCTAAACGTCTGGAGTACAACACGAATCATCTGTCGTCTTTTGGTGAAACCGACCTTCGAAGTTCTTCTTCCTTCAGTTTCATACGAAATGAAAGTCTCGCCAATAATAGGTGAATTTTCCCGCAATCACATGAGTTGGCCTCATATTTCCATTTAATTTCACATAACCTTACTTCCTACATGGTATTCTCATGCAAGTCAGATTGGACTGCCTATATACACACATATTTGACTCTCTCTCTCTCTCTCTCTCTAGTTTCCATCGTTTTTCTCTCTTCCCTGTTGATCAAGCCAGTTTGTCGCCATGACATCGTGTGGGTGAGAAAAGACGTACTTGGATGCTGAAAGATACTTGGCCAACAGCCTTGCAGTCGTCGACTTGCCCAGACCCTCTGTGCCTTGGAAAATCAAGCCTCTACATCGCGAAAGCCGCTTCCTCCGCAACTGATTGGAGGCGTTCTCCGGCTCCGTGTGGTCCACGTCCGCAGTCAACCAGTCGACATAACCGCTCAGCACAGCTTCTCGGACCAGACTCTTCATGGCCCAACTGTCCAGACGGCCTTTCCCAGCTCCCCAGTCTGTTGGGTCCGACTTGTCTTTCCATTTTTCATCTTCATTCGTCACGTCCTGCTTCTCCGCCTCACCCGCGGCCACACCAGCCCTACCGAAGGTCGTTTCATCGCCGGCCAGCATCAGTTCAATCCTCAGCGCTATCGGGGCCACAGTTCGAGCCCGCACTGCCGTCACCAGGTCTGCCGGGCAGTCGGGCAATCGGGCCAACATGGCGTGGTCTACAGTCGTTTTGCCGGCTTGGCCAATCGGCGTCGCAGAGCCATTCACCGACGCCGGTGCGGGGGTCTCCCGATGTGGCCCTCCAATCTGGCGTAGATAGACGAGGTCGGTTGAACTGGCGGCCGAACCCTTCGACACTTCTGACGCCATTTCGTGTATCCAATAGCCGATAAGACTGTTGGCTGTGATACCGAGGCCGTCGAGACTCTGTCCGGAGCCGAGTCCGCAAGAGTCAAGACGGGCGGTGTACTCGCGCAGCAGACGCCGCAGGTACGTGTCCATGGAGTACCAACTGGCCATATTCGCCAGATTCACGAAGCCCATCCGGAAGTGGTCTCCGTCGGGGGGGCAGGAGCGAACGGCCGGCGGTTGCTGCGGCCGGCCGAGCCCCGGGAAGCTGATGACGCAATAGACGCCATTCGCCGTCGAGGTACCCGCCGTACCGGCCACCGCTCGAGGGCCACTCGGACGGGGAGTTTGCGCCAGAATAGAGGCCCAGACTGG